ATCTGCCATTCCTCTCCACATCGTGCAGGAATGGTATGTGGGAAGGAGAGCAGGCAGCCACCCTGGGTCTTCAGGAGGTGCAAGGCCCCTGGGACTGTAGAGCTTTAGAAGAAGGACCGGGCAGTTTTGTGCTTGCCTGTGCTGACCAAACTCAGTGCTGTCAGCAGGAGTTTCTCTAGTAAGGTTGATGTCCCCCTCCCCACTCTACTCTCAGCATGCCTGACTGTTCATCCTTTTAGCTCTTCCCATGTAACACCTTGCATGGAAATTTGATACCTGTCAGCAGGGGCAGACTGATACACTCCTCTGAGTGAGGACCCGGACTTTTTGGAACAAAGACTTTTTCCATAGGATTATAGGCTTAAAAGTCAAGGCCAAACATGACCCAGCCCAGTGATAAACATTGCTTGGAAAGCAACCTAATGGAGAGAGATGGAAACTGAGGTAACTGGCACTGGTAATACTGATCTGGTTTGGTAGGTGGGTGGTGCTGGACTGTGCAGCATTACTTGCCCGAGCGCCAGGGTCTGTGTGGCAGTGCCCCTGCTGGGTGTGGATGCCTCACACGTGGCCCACACGTGGGGAATTCCGTGTCCCAAAGGTCTCAGCTTCACTCCTGTGAACTCAGTTAGCATTTTCCTAGTACCAGTCTCTTTGCACTTTGGGTTCTGGGTTGATGCAATCGTGAGTTCAGTGAAGCCTGAACTCCTCTCACCCCTGCAGGCACCAGCAGGGAAAGTTCAGGGACTGAAAGCAGCTGCCTGCCCTTGATCAGCAAGATCAGCAGAGCTGGTGCCACTGGTACCAAAGAATTTAGAGGTGGGTTTGAGCTACATTCCTGTAACAGATTTTAGGATTTTATAATGGTTTAAGACACTAGAACCAATGTAAGTGGTCAGAGAAACTTTGTAGATGCCAAGAACACTGATGATGGGATTCTGGCTGGATCCAGCTTGCCAGGTTTTCTCACTCCTGAATTCTTCTCCTTTAGGCTTGTTCTAGGAATGTGTGAGCTCCCTTCCCTCCTCCTCTCCTGGATGGCTGAAGAACTGTGTAGCTTCACACAGGGAGTAGCAGTGTATTCCTCTGGCACTCCAGCATATGTCCTGGTGTCACTGTGTCTCTCTGTCCCCTTGTCACCCTTCCCCTCAGCACTTCAACTACATGGCTGAGCAGTGAAAGTGGTACAAATCACCTGCAAAGACAAGGCAGCAAATAGAACATGGTATTGCAATTAACAGGGTGCTTTCTGGCTCTGTGTCCAGCAGTTGCTTCAGATCCGAGACAGAAATATTTTGTCTTGATGGTCTGAGCAGCTCCAGAGCCCAGGCTTTGCAGACCCTTTGCTTTACAACAGCAGAGACCCTCAGCATGCTGAGGGCTGAGGAGGGTTGGCAGCTCCCCCAGCCCTGTCAGCTGGTTCCTGTTGTTGCTGTGATCAGCTCCTGTCACTTTCCTCCCTCTTTCCAAGGCTCTGATAACAAGCACTGGGGCACCCAGGTAACCTTTGGCTGAGCTTCCTATTTAAACTCCCGTGGCTTTTGCTTCATTGCCTAGTTGTTACACAGCAGTAAAGATGTGTTCTGATAGCAGCAGAGGCTGCTCCCCTCCCCTTTCCCCTCTTATGCAGGATCAAAGCTCTCTGAATTTGCTTGAACAAATTTGCATTTAGGTCAGGGAGAGACTTACTTGAGGGAAAGATTTTTCTTTCTCCTGTCTTTTTCTTAACTCTGTAAGAAAGGATAATAAGCACAAAGGCAGGTGGGAGCAAAAAACTGTGGTCTATAAATAATTGGGTTTGGCACACATGGGAGGACAAAGTCATTAGTAAGAGAGAAAATAGCTGATGTGGTAGCAAGCTACATCTTCAGCTGATGTAAAGCAGCCTCTCCCCATGGAAGCAATGGGACCATGTCACTGCCATCAGCTGAGCTGCTTGGTGGACCTGTTCCCCTCTGCAGTGCCCAACCTGCCTGCAGCTGCCTCCTTATGCAGCAGCAGTGAGGGAGGTTGAACAGCAAGTCTCTGGACTACCAATCTTCATTTTTTGGCTCCTTGTAGCTATGTGCTTAGGCTGCCCAAGTCCCTGCTGTGCTCTTAGGATGCAAAGTGGCAATAACAGGGTGGCTGTCACACCCCAGACGGTCATTTTGACATATGCCAAAGCATTGCAGGGTTGGTTGCTCAAGGCTCCTGCCTCCATCTCTAGTGTGCATTGGGATGGGACACAAAACAGCTGTGGAAGACCCTGCTGGGATCGTAGTGGTCATGGAGATAGGATGACCTTGTTCTGGGAGTGCTGCTAGTGGCTGGGAGACCTGGGTGTAGTTGCTGGTTCCATCTTAGCATGTGCACATTGCCTTGACCAATTCCACATCTTTTGGGGCTTTCTCTGTAGATGGTAAAAATTTCTTCCCTCCGCTGGTCTTGTTGAGCCCCTCAGCTTTTTCAAATCTCATACACTGCCCCTCAGCTGGAATATTCTCAAAACTGCACAGGTGTGTGTAGAGACTGACGTGCCCAGCAGTTTAAGTATTAACAGGACACGTGAGAACTGAGGTTTGCAATATAGAAGTGGTAAACATTCAGTTTGGTTGCTAAACTTAGACCCACTCACTCTAGCGAGAAGTTCAGAGCTTTCTGAACTGGGCTCAAAGTCAAAGGTTAATTGTAATTTCATGGAAGAATGACTCACCTGAATTCTGGGTGGGTCTGATGCTCTGCAAGAGCTTTGCTGCTTTGCAGCGTGCAGGGACCACAGCCCTGGCAGGGCTGGCAATGCAAGGCTCTGTCGATGTGACAGAGGTGGCAGATCCTGGGCTTCTGGTCTCTTCCTGATTCGCGGTGATACAAATAAGGCCAGGGAAAATACCAGATAAAACCCGCTGGGAAATACCAGATAATGTCTAGGTCGCAAGCTGTGAAGTGGCATTTTAAAGAGGCGAACTCAGCGCTTTTTCCGCCCAGAATTATGGTAGTCCTCACAGAGAAGCTGACTGGTTTGGCCTGATTCATCTTTAATGAAATCATGTTGCGTTTTATCCCATTTTCCTGCTCATTTCTCCCTCTTTAGCAAGCGGACGCTGTCGGAAGCCCCCGCCTGCCCCCCGGTGGCCACCTGAGGGACGGCAGGAGTCCCTCCAGCCGGGGTGACACCGCGGGGACAGCACAGGGCCCGAGGTCCTTCTCCCTGCCCAAACCCAGGGCAGATAATGCCACAAAGATGTTTAAATGGCTGAATTGGGCTATCCAAGACCCCACCGCCTCCACCACTGCACCCGATGTGTGCCCATTGTTCCTGAGGGCCCTTTTTTCCCCCAAGACCTTGGCACGAATAGTCTTTAATTCTTTTTCTTTTGAGGTGTGTTCTTGACTGCCACAGGTGGGAATGACTTGCCAATGGGCTGTTGTCACCTTTGGCTGGTGGTATTGAGCAGTGGTACCCCAGGGCTGATGACTTGGTAAGAAAAGTGGCCATCCATGGCTACCAGTGTATTATCTAGAAGGTGGGTTAGGGGTTTCTGGGGTGGTGGAATCCTTCAATTGAAGCAAAGTTCCCACTTCATGCTTTTATCAGTGGGAGTGCAATCACATGTTTCTGGTTTTCTGTTGCTCTAAATTGGATTGTAAAAGGCTTCCTTAGTGCCTCAGGCATATTTAGAATCATTTATGTGTTCTTTTTTATTTCCTTGCAGAGAAAGAAAAGGTGATACTCAAATGCCAAAGCATTTAATGGGGAACAGCTCAGGCAATGCTGGAAACTGCTTCAAATTTCTAGATGCCAAATCCATAGCTATGTGGGCAGAAAGGCCATGTCTGAGGGAGGAATGTTTTTTTTCAGACACAGTAACTCAAAGGGCAGGGGGAATGCAGAGCTTTTCAGGCACAGAAACACCCTTGAACCAGCCAACTGACTATGGCAGGAGGGTAGTGCAGCAGGGAGAAGGATGGATGGCTTCCCTGCAAAGAGCAACTCATGGGATTGTGTTCATGGCTTTATGAACAAAGTAGGAGTGATCCAGAAAAAGGGAACCAGAACAGCTCCCGAACCAAGGATGCCTTGAGTGAGGGCTTGGGCTTTGCTCCCCCAGCCCCTGATTGCTGGACCATTCATGGCTGGAGAAGACACTGCTTTTGGGTCTCCTTCCAGAAACACAGTGTGTCCCCTGCTCCATCTCTCCCAGGTGGTTTTTAATCCACTAGTTAAAAATAGAAAAGGGCAATCCCTTTTGAGCAGTTTGCAAGGACAGTGGGCTGACACCAGGGAATACCTGCTGCTTTGGGGCAGGGGATGTCAGGAAAAGGATTGTCCGTACTGGAGCTGCTGCTTCTGCATTGCAGTGCCCGAGGGAGAAGGATTAAGGACAAACCTGCAGGTGTCAGAGAGGCCCAGCTGGAAAGCTTCCCAAAAAGGGCACTGGGATGCCCAAGGCTGCAGCCAGCCCTGCTCCTCCCTGGGGACCCACTGCTGGGTGCAGCCTCTCCTTCCCTGCAGCCATTCAGCACAGCTCTGTGGACTGCTGGGCTCTGCAATCCCACCACCGGTGCCTCTGGGAGGGAGAAGGAACAAGTGCCCTCCAGCAGCTTCTCCTCAGGCTGCTCCCCTCTGCCAGGGCACCACTGCCAACCATCACTGAGATGTCACCTGCGATGTCCCCACTCCACAGCACGGACACCACAGTGACATGTCAGAACATTCCACTGAAACCTGCAGTCTACTGGTGCCAGTTGGCCTTTGCCTTCTGACTGGCAGGACACGGGCGAGCTGTCCAGGGAGATGGCCATGGAGGGAGAGTTCTCCTCCCTTCGCTTTCCACAGAAACTTTGGAAAATGCTGGAAAGCAGCAGGTTTCTGTCAATTTGGTGGAGCGAGGGTGGAAAATGTGTGGCCATCAACAAAGATCTTTTCGAAGAGGAGGTGCTGGGCAGGGCAGGGCCTCGGCGGCTTTTTGACACACAGAAAATGAAAAGTTTCATGAGACAGCTGAATGTGTACGGATTCACCAAAACAAAACGGGATGACCAGAGATCTGCCTCCCTGCCTGAATTCCTGGCAGAGGAAGCAGCAGTTTCTGCTCACAGCCAGGTACAGCAGCTGCTCTGCACATCAACTAATGCTTGGAATAATCTTGGGGGAGAGAGGGACCTGCCCAGAAGGACCTTATTAGGTCTCATCATAGAGAGATCTCTATTTGTGGGTGGAGAAGCCACTTCTTACAAGGGGTCTCATAAAAAGGAGGGCAGAGGGTGACAGGACAAGGGATAATGGCTTTATACTGAATGAGAACAGGTTTAGATTGGATGTTAGGAAGAAATACTTTACTGGGATGGTGGTGAGGCAGGTGGTCTGGTTGCTGAGAGAGATTGTAGATGCCCTATTCCTGGAAGTGTTCAAGGCTTGGCTGGCTGGGTCCCTGAGCAACCCCATCTATTGAATGGCATCCCTGCCCAAGGCAGGAGGGTTGGAACAAGATGATCTTGAAGGTCCCTTCCAAGTCAAACCATTCTGTGATTCTATGATGGAGGAGACAGAGGTGGGAATGAGAGGTCTGGTTTTCATTTTGTTCTCAGGCCGTGCTCAGGCAGGTTTGAGTTAGTCTTTCTGACTACTAGAAATGCAGATAAGACACAGTTTGGTGAGATCTGCTGAGTCTGAGCCCATTAAAGGGAAAGACAGACCTAGCATAACCTGATTTCTCCAAATGTCTTTGCTCTGTGTCTTGCTGTACCGAACCCGAAACCTTCCTGCAGCACCTGCCAAATGCCAAGCAGATGCATTTAAGGAGTACAGGGTTACCTGACTGTTCATGTCCACACTGAAGCTGCTGAAAAATAGTGGCATTTGGCTTTTGAAAGCAGTTGTTCTCCTTTTGAAAATCCCTACACTGCTCTGTCCCCAGAGGACAAAACCCCAGGGGTGGCAATGACTGAACACAATTTTCACATAATGCTTTAGCCTGAGCTTCAGGTTCCACACAGCCCTCAGAGCCCTTTTCTGTGTCCATGCTCTTCCTCTTTTGCAATTCAGAGTCCTAGTTCTTGTAGCTTGGGGTTTTCCATCTTGGGATGATGGCAACTAACTCTTCTCCCTTGCCTGTTTTAGATCCTCTACTACTATAACCCCTGCTTCAACAGAGCATATCCCTGGCTGGTGGAAAGGTGCATGAGGAGAGCTGCCCTTAAACAGAGAGCCCCAGGTGCAGCAGAGATGGATGAAAGCCCCTTCAGAGGCCCAGACAGTCAGCCTGGGCAGTGAGGGCAAGCAGGGCTGGGCTTCACACAGGAGTCTTTCACCCGTGAGGACTGCACTGACCAAGGGATGGGCTGAAGCACCTCCCAGCACCTGCAGCCCCAACCCTGCACGTGGGCCCCAGACGTGGCACATCCCGGAGATCGCAGAGAGCCGGCAGACAGCTGATTTCTAATTAATTTCTAATTAAAAGCGTTGTTACTAAATAGAGCCGAATAGAGTTGGAATAAAAATATTTTAGTCGAGTTGGTATTAAACCGTTGGAAGAACAACCCTTCCCAGTTGTCCTCTGCTCTTTGCACAGCCCCGGGGTGAGACCCCATTTGAAAACCCACAGACCCCAGCAGAGGCAGCTCATCTACCACCAGCTGAGCCATTTATCGGAAGAGCCCAGCCCGGGATCATAGCCTTAGAGAGCACAAGTGTGTGTTACTCCACTGGCCGAGACCCAGGGATCTCCTCCACCAGGCTCTGGACCCACCCGACCCCGAGAGCAGGAGCGGGGCAGAGGACTCCGGCGGTTGGGCACTGCAACAGGCACGAAGCGCCAAGCCTGCCCAGAGTAACCGACCTCTGGGAAGCGGGAAGGAGCTGAGCTTCCCTAACACCCCGAGCCCCCTGACGGAGCCAGCCGTGCTCAGAGGGAGCGGCTTTCACGGCAAGGGCTTGTTTTACCGCCGTGAGGAGCTCAGCGAGTCCCGCCCGGCCCCCGCCACGGCGGCCCCTCACGGCCAGGCCCGCCCCCCGCAGGGCGGGGCCGTTGCTACGGGGCGCGCGCGGCGCGGGAAGCGAACGGCGGCCGCGGGGCGTCATGGCCGCCGTGTGCCTGGTGAGGGGCGGCCGGGCCGCCGGAGCGGGGCCTCCGGGGCGCAGCGGGGTGTTGGGGGCGCTGGCGCTGAGCGGGGGTGGTGCGAGGGGTCCCCGGCTGTGTCGGTGGGGGGCGGCCCTTGGGCCGTTGTGTCGCCGCCGGGGGGGTTGGAAGGCAGGGGTGGTGCCGGCCGAGGGGTGTTTGGTGCTGTGCGGGGCTGTGGGGCCGCGGTGGCGGTGGGAGGCGGTGCTGGGGTTGGGGGGGGTTAGTGCTGGTGGGGGTGGGCTGTGGGGTGGCGGGTTGCTGGTGGGGCTGGGGGCAGAGGGGTTTGCTGGAGCTCGGTGCTGCCCAGGGGGCCCGGGGTGTCGGGGGGCTGTGGCAGCTGGGGCTGAGCTGTGCCTGTGTGTAGGGGCACCTCTAGGCTGTTGGGGGGGCTCTGGGTCTGGGGAGCGCTGGTGCTGGGTGTTGTGGGGGGAAGTCAGCCCTGTTCTGGGGCTGGGCTCTGGTTTGAGCAGGGTGGGGTTGTGGTCAAGTCCTGAAGGGCAGAAGGCTGTGGTGGGCACTACCAGGGGGTCAGAGGCTCTGTGTGTGTGTGACAGCAGGGGTTGAAGCCTGATCAGCCTGTCCTGGTGTCTGGGCGATTTTCAGGTGTTAAAAGCTCTTGTAATGGTTCTCTCGGGTTTTTGTTTGTTTCTCTGCCTGGCCTCAGGCTTTGTTTGGCCTTTGCAGCAAGGTGCTGTGTAGGGGCATGCTGTGTTCCCCAGGTGTAGGGGATGGGTAGTGGGTCAGTCTGTTGTGCTGCAGTTCTGATCCCTCCTGCCTGTTTCAACAGGTGTGGTAAATCTTGCAAATTTGCCTCTTCTGTGCAAATAGTGGCCTCTTTGCTACACCTGAGCTGGGATGAGCAGCTATCAGAGCAAAGATGAGCTTGACTGCCTGCTCAGGTGGTATGGACATGGCTTGTCTGTCTATAGTCAGCTTTGGGGTCTCTATACCAGCATCATAAAAATGCATGAGGGATTCGTGCAAAGTCATGTAAGATCCAAGCTAATAACTGCTTGGATAATTTGCCTCTTTTAAAGTTTGTGATACATGTGAAATTTGTGTTTTGTGTTGTGCAGTGTTCTTGTCTCTGCCTGGCTTTTGTGGGGTGAATATGTGGTTTTGCTCACCTGTTGTAGAAATAAAATGGTTTAATTGTACCAAGATGGTTCTTAATCTATGGTGTCTGAACATTGTTGTCTTCTAGGAAGATCCAACCCTGGAGAGACACTTCAAAGGCCACAGAGATGCTGTCACTAGCGTGGACTTCAGTCTCAATAAGAAACAATTGGGTAAATAGTCTGTGTTTTGGTGGCCAGATGGTAAAGAAAGAGCTTCTCTGCTCTATTTAGATGGAGAGAGAAGTGGAGGTGCTGAGCTCTGCAACAACAAAAAGTCTTGCTGGCCCTTCCTGCTAACAGCAAACTGAGCACTGCTCTAGTCACCTTGCAAGCCTGTGTTTCTCATATGTTGCTAAGAATTGCTGAGCTGACTTTGATCAGTGTTTTCAGAAGGGAGAGATGCTGGAGGGAGATGTAGCCAGGTTACCTTTACGTCACCAACTGTAACGTCACCAACAGTCACTCACTGCTCTCTGTAATCTGTGGTGTTATTTGATATTTAACCTGCTGCAGCTGACACCTGCCTCTGCTTCCCAATAAGAAAGTGATGAGATAACCTTCATTCACAGGCCTTCTGTGTATTCCATGAGTGTGTATTTAACTGAAAAAAGCTTTACAAACCTGTGTGGCTTCTGCCTCTGCAGCTGTTGCCTGTCCAGGCTCTTGGAAGTGAATTGTCAGTCGGAGGCAATGCATGGCTGGCCTTGTTTTGTTCGAATTGCTAATGAAGTACACGATGTGCAATACACTGGTGAAGCTTCAAGGACAGTGTACCTGAGACTGCTGGAAGCAGGGTAGTGAACTGAGTGTGAAATGTAGGTTTAGTGTAATTGGAGGAGAACTAAGGCAAGTTTGGTTTTGTTTTTCCTTTTTTATTTCAGCAAGTGGCTCGATGGATTCGTGCCTGATGATCTGGAGCATGAAACCTCAGATGAGAGCCTATCGCTTCGTGGGCCACAAAGATGCAGTGATGTGTGTCCAGTTTTCACCTTCTGGTCACCTGGTGGCTTCAGGCTCCAGAGACAAAACAGTCCGGTTATGGATCCCTAGTCTGTGAGCACCTGTTCCCTTCTGTCTCTCTTTGTGTTTTAACCATGGCTTGGGATTTCTCCTTGCTTCTTGGTAGCAGTTCTCCAGCTATGGGACTGGGATCTGTTTGAGGGAAAGTAGAACCACTTAATGTGAGGCCTCTGACAGAGGAGAGATAATTTGGTCTTGAAATTGTGTGGAAAACAAAACCAAAATCCTTTGCAAAGATTAAAATCCATTGTAACTTTTTATGCAAATGTAACAAGCTGCTGATGTAACCCATCAGTGGTGAGCTGTTGGATTTTTCTTACTTAACACTTCCTGAAACAAACAGGAGAGTACTGAAGGACTTGTGCTTGAAGACCTAATCTTGCTGCAAGGAATGAGAAGCATTTTGTGGGCAAGATGCAGAAAAGCACCTGCCAATGTTTCCTCTGGTCTCTCCTTTCCCACAGTAACAGTGGAGTTGTTTCTCTGAATGGACAGGGATGTGAATAGGGGTTGGAGATTCTTTTGCTTGTGAGCTTGTAAATTGCAACTGTCAGAAGACTAAAGGAAAAAAGCAGACCTGATGATTGTGGTGGCAGATAAAAGGCATTTAAAAAACAAACAAACAAAAAACCCCCAACAAAACTCAAACCTAACAAAACCACACAAAATATATACCCAAACTTTAAAATAAATAGGTTGCTTCAGGAACCTGGTGAAGCATTGTTTGTTTTTGATGGGTTCTTATGTTATGATTACACATTGGAAACTTTATTTGGTCTATTAAACCTAAGTGATCTCTGTCATGGAACTGATGTGTTCTGAAAGTGACTTTTTAAAATTCATGATAAAAGTGCTTTTAAATATCTTAATTATAATGGAAATTACAATCTGCAAATTTTAGTTCTACTTGACTATAAATTATTTTTTAAATTTATTTATTTCAGTTCAACTTTCCTATAGGGAATGATCACAAGGACATATTGGCATGGATGTTATTAAAAGCCACAAGGTGGATTAGGATTAAAATTTAACCTTGCTGCTCATCAATCCCCTACAAAGACGGAGACTGACACTGTCATTTTGCTGTCTCCAGAGCTGATAACACAGAATACTTAAAATAAATACTTAGGGTAAATTACAGCACAAACTTGTCAGAGTTCTCAGAAGCTAATGTATATATTTTTAGAAAGGACTGAGATGTGATGGGAAAACTGAGTGTGTGCTTGGGTGATTCTGTCCTGGTTGCTTAGCCACGTGAACTCTGAGGTCGAAACTGTACCTTTGGCTCTCAAGTCATATCAGAAAAGGGCTGCTCTGGAAAGGGAGTTCTTGTTATGCCAGTTGTTGATACCTTGGTGCATGGCACCTGGAGTCTGTGTTTAATATTCTTTGTCAGTTTACCTTCTCCAAATGTAACAACAGAGTGGTGATGTTGAATCAGGTTTGAGGCCTTCAAATTGACACTTCTGCACTGTCGTTAAAAGGGGAGAGAGAACCTGCCCCATGGTCTGTGGGGTAGGACTTTATTTCCAAATAATCTCAAAATTTACAGTCCCTTATTACAAGGGCAATATGTTACTGAAGGAGCTAATGCTGCTGTGGATTTCTGTCTTTGGGATTTGTTTTTTTATGGGCCATGATGCCAGAATTTTATAGTTGCTTGTTTCTGCATGAGATTTCTTCAGAGTTGTGGATATTCTGTAGTTTTGCCCAGAAAGAAAACTTTCCTGAGAAGTAACCTTTACACTTACTTGCCTTGTGGCAGACAAAGGATTAAATAAAACTAGGCAGCTCTGACCTTTTCTGAAGAGGGAGGGAATATTGCTGGAAGGTGGGTAGTATTTTGATTTTTTGGCCTTTGTGGTTTTGGTAGTCCTCAACCTCAGCATAAAGTTAAATCCTAGCAGAGAAGGGAGTGAACCATCATGTTTTTCTCTTCAGTCTGTGAATATGGAGCTCCTGATGGACTAAGAGTTCCATAAACCTGTTGGATCTCTAAATATGTTGCACTTTGTGTCTCTAAATATGCCTTGCATTTATTTGCCAGAAGAATGCCTCTTGCATTTATTTGCATTTATGTGTAAAGAAGAATAACAGTGCCCTGACTCTGTTCTTGTCTGGCTGAGTTAATAGTGGTTTGCTCACAGCTGTACAGCATCAGGTGTGCTGAATTTAGTTGTGTTATTTCTTGTGTGATGCTGCATTGGAATTGTCCACGTGGAGCTTGAGTCTTTACAGGAACAGTTGTGAGGTCATTGCTTGCTTGGCTCTGTCCAGATGAACTGT